GTACGACAACTTTTGATCACCCTTAAACAAACAAAATAATATAATACATAAATCAATAAATAATAATAAAAAACAAGTAGGCTTACCATCGTGAAAAAATCCAAAAAAATAAAAAGTCCCAGAAATGCTGCAGAGTGAATATTTTGTGTTTAAAAGTCCAAAAAGTATTTTATATGAATATTTCAAAAATCACCCAAAACATGCCTTAGTATAGCCTTTCTTTTTTTTGGAAAAAGCTTTTTTTAAAAGAATTTCTCGAATTTTTTTTATTTAAAAAATATTTTTGCAAATTAAAAAAAATACAAATTCAAAATTCTGTTTTAAAAAATTTTGGAAAATATTTTTAAGAATGTTTTTCTTATCTTTTCCTGCATATTTCTCATTAAATTAGGGCATTAACAGATTAACAGACGTTTTTCAAACATTTTCATTTTTTTCATCACGTGACCCACATAATACGTGATTTTAGGATTTTGCTGAAAAAATTCCATTGTTTTATTTCTCAAAATGCTCTTACACAGCTAGCAAACATACTGCACTTCTTATAAGTAGATTCTTAAAAAGTAGAGCAGAAAAGTCCAGCTTTAACCCTCCCGCTGTCCTTTTATACACAGCCAGCGTCCTCGCAACGGGTTTGCATCTTGTCCCTGAAACAGAGTCTAAGAAAAAGTTCAGCAGAAACCGAGTACTACAGGAAACACGCATACGCACGGTCACCTTGACTCAAAGGAAAACACGAGGGTTAAATGTTTAGACGGCGTGGCTGCGTGTCCTTCTTTGTTAGCGGCGCTCACGTTAGCCACACCTGGCCCGCATTCATCTTCAACAGTATCAACAACGGTGTTTTTGGCCACTAGTTTCGTAGACGCACGTGCCGTCTACAGATGCTTCATTCAATTCGATTTGCTTACAACGGACGTGGACAAACACTTCACATGCACATTCTTGTCTTTTACCTGAAGGACATTGAAGTACTGCCTGTATTGCCATTTTGAAAACGCCAACTTTCCCTCCAGACTCGCCATTGCAGCCGCTTACCTCGACTAGTTTTGGCCTGTGAGCCGCTGCGTGCGTATAGACTGTGCAGTTAATGGGGTTAAACTAAAGTGACTACTGTAGCAATGTGGAAGGAAGGATGTTACCAGTAGTCAGCAGTGGGGACATTTCACTGGCCAAAAGAAATGATCTGATGAGACTTTTTCCATGAATTAACTGGCTGCTTTTGACATATCAAAAATATTTATATCTGCCTCAAAGCTTCTGTTTTAGTACAACATTTATTCACTATCATTTTTATTTTATTTTTAAGGTGCTATAAACTAACATGAATAAAGTCACATGCCCTTAACTTATCTGCAATGCTGAGTTCTTAACATTCTTACATATATGTATATATATATATATATACACATATATATATATAAGAAAGGCATGGGAGTGTGTGAATTTATTATACATCTTTGTCATTTTAGTCTTTTGAAACGAATCAGTGAGAGTTCACTACAGTATTTTTTCTACACGCCCATTAAAAAAACAGTAGATATCGGAGTTTGCAGTAGCTCGCTTGTGCCTTCAACAGGAAACCAAAGGAAGCTGCTTGTTATTGTTGCACTTCCTACAAACGATCACACCCTATTGAGCTCTCAGTGAAGTGTCTGATTTTTTCTCCTGCTCCTACAAATTCCTTCTTCCTTCACTAAGGTAAGTTCAATTCTGGAGTTCTGTCCAACGCGTTCATTGCAGGGTTTAACATTGACGCCATTTATTATCAAGTGGTGGATGCTGTACTCCCACAGATTCAAGATGGACTTGTCTAAACAAAGCTTGGCGCAACAAACCAGACCAGCCCAAGTCTGAGCACAGCATGCATTTTTATTCAAGTTGATTCCTGATGTGCTTGTCTCTAATCTCTCCTACAGAACTTTCCAGAGCTTTATCAACATGTGGGACAGAGGGAACCTGCTTCTTGCTGTAATTTTGTTGACAACACTCCAACAAAACGTGCGTATTATTTCTCTTTTACAAACAGCACAACAATGTCACAATGTAATGCACTTCTAAACTATATTCCCACCCTCATTTTCAAATGAAGGTGGCTGAAAAACTGCTGGACATGTCCCCGGATGCTGTAGACTATATTTGCAGTAAATGCCGTCAAGACGCCATTGAGAAGTTTGTCAACTCTGGTCTTTTGAACAATGAGTTAAGCCTCAGCCTGGGGTTTCAGAAAGCATGGAATAAATCTCAGTGTACCAAGCAAATCAAGGGAGGAATAAAAGAACATACTGCCGCACTCTTGGCATATGCTAATGGAGACAGAGGTTTCATAACAGAGTTCAACAGTGAAGTAGAAACTAAGGGTGGAAATACCACCAGGTATGACAACGACTTCAATTACAAAGCTTTTCATTTCCTGCTCATGGATTACATGATGCTGCAGAAACCACAGACGTGTCAGGCTGTGTACCTTCTACTGGATACGAAACAAACCGCAAAAATAAAGTCAACAGTACGACTCGGAAGGTTCACGACTGCTGTGTTAAACTTCGATTCACTAAAGCAATTGCACGACTTTGACTCCGAGGTCATTCTCAACATCACTTCGTGCTTGTTTGCCAAACTGGGCGACAACATTTGCAAGGTCAACAAGGAGGACGTCTTGTTATCACCATCAGAAGAGTTCATCGTAGAAAATAGTGTCACTGTGGTGGATACGGAAGATGATGTAACATACACCATGATCACTTTGAATCATGTCAGCTTGGGAGATCTCAACAACTGCCATATCTGCTCAAGGTAAGACATTATTATTTGTTTGTTTAGCAAGCAAACAAACAAACAAAAAACAACCACAAAATAACTATAAGGTTTTGAATAACCTATGACAGTGGTTCTCAAACTGTGGTATGCGTACCACCAGTGGTACGAGGGTAAGATTAATATTTTCACATTTACATTTTTAATTGAATAAATCTGAAACAAACCATGGATCACGTTACAGTTCAATCAGTCTATGCTCAGTATACCCTATTGAAAATCATGAAACAAACCAATCAAAGAGAAAAACACACTAAAAAAACTACTATGTACAAATGACTTCGGCATAGTTTTTGTTATAGTATAAAACGAGTGGTTCCATAGTATCTGATATTTATATGTTTGTTAAAATATTTAAGTATGACATTGTAATATTCTTCCCCGTTTGTCTCATAGGTCTTCACCATCTGTCTCCACCCAGTGGCCTGTGTTGGTTATGGCAGTGTTGTCTTTTTCTTTCGTTAGATATTGAAGGATCGGTATTAATGATTTTAAACTGCACAACTGTGTTTTTGTTTTTGTTTTTCTTGGTAAGGATGGAAAGGGAGGGAGGGGGCGCTGTTGGGGTTTTTTGTTGATAGTTGAAAACATAAAGATTTTGTTTTTAGGATTTTTCACATTTTCGTGTCTTACATGTTTACATTAAGTTTACAACAATGTGTAGGAAACAAATTGTTGATTTTATGCATGCTATCCCTTAGCTTATTATCACAGTTCACAACTCTTAAATTTATCTTAAGAATAAAAAGAATACATACGCCCACCTTTTGTGTTTGTATGTTTGTACAGAAATGTACTGATGTTTGGATTTTTATCTTTTTAACCTTTAAGACTTCAAATGCAAATACGTTCAGACTTTTTTCATGTGTTAAAGATTTAACCAATACCCGAACATACATTAAACATCTGCATTCACCTGGTGGCACCTGGGACTGTTTCTTCCACCATCTGCAGCTGTAAGGAGAAAGCAGAAAAAGTTTGAAGTGTAGTGAGAGTGAGTACTTTACATATCTTTCATTCTTTTGAATTTGCATTTGGCTAATAAAAAGCAGAAGACGACCAACACACACCTCGAGTCACGAGACACTTGACGCGAGTTCCTGTATTTTTAAATAAATCACAATACATGGTGGTTAAGTATCAGTCATTTGATCAGTAAATTCACACAATTTCACAGTACTGGTGTGCAGAGAGAATACAGTTGTTTATGTGTGACAGAGCACAGCTGCAGTGAGTCGTAGTAGAAGTTTACCTGTCCCTGTTGATGGGCTCACAGTTCAGTCTTGACCTGTTGCTCTGGTTTTGTTCTCAGGATGCTGGTGTTGGCTTGAGACAGGGTGCACATGCTGTTTTGACAACCTGGTCTCAGTCTCGTGTTCTGCAGCTCCAATTCCTCGTATGTGGACATGTGGATGAAAGGACACCAGCGAAACACGTGCTTGAAACCAGCGCGAAACCTGCATTCACACATGTAGGACCTTAGAGTTTAGGAATCTGGTGTGTATGTTGGCTGAAGAGAGCTCTGGTGGTTTCACTCACCTGCTGTTCAGGCAGCAGTAGATGATGGGGTTGTACATGGTGGAGCTCATCGCCAGCCAAAGCACTGACAGGTAAACCTGTTGGATGTACTTCCACTTGTTTAAAGGCTTGCTGACACCAGTCAGAATGAAGTAAATGTGATAGGGCAACCAGCACAGGGCAAAGGTCACCACAACAATGATCATCATCTTCACCACCTACACAGAACGACAGGGCAAACAGCAAGAGAGTTCACCGTGGTGTTTGAAAATGAGCTGAATCTGTTTTATACCACTGCACTGGTATAAAACCATAAACAAAGGTAACGTGTTGTGATTGAATCTGAACGTTTGGTCCAATCATGTATAAGAAATAATACAGTAAAGAGTGTTTGGTTGTTCTATTATGGGACCACAGGGTGATCCAGAACAGACGGGGAATTAAAGTGTTGTTTCATTCTCTGGTTATACATCACACTTGTCACACATCAGCAAAATACCCCTCGGACAAAGGTCTGTAACCCGTGGCTCCTGAACCACATTTGACACTTTACCCTCCTTAGCTCCGACTCCCTGTATGATAATATTTAACACTTGTGAATACACACAGTTTACTCCCAACTACTGTAAGCTTTTCAAACAAAATACATCCTGTAGCCCCTGACTTAACGTTGACACTGAGACAGTGTAGTTTGAGTCAATGTGACATGTCACGCTCCATTCCCAGTTTATTAACCACAGAGAAACAACACACTCACTGTGTGAAATGTTTCTCACAAACATTAACTGGTTCATGATGTATATCATGTAAACACTGCATAACTGACTTGATCATTTGTACTTTACACTTACTGTATAATTCTAAACCACTAGTATTTTATCAGCAGTATCACTTTAAGCATATTCTGCACTTTATTTTCATTATTTTCTTTGACATATCTACAGGCTGTAGTGACATTAATTGGATTAATGATGTTTTTAAGACTCTGAGTTCTATTTTTCAGTATTAGCGTTGACATCAACTGACAGATGAAGAAACCTTCTGTCACATTTCTGTCGCAGTGATGTGATATAAATGGTTCCTCGGCCATTCTTTATGAGGACACTGTCTGTGAAAATAATAGGTTTGTTGTGCTTCAGCGTGATCACAATGAAGTCTCCAGTTGATAAGAGTCTGGCATAAAGAGGAGAGGGAAAGGTCAGCAATGACTCAACAGACCCAGTGGGTCTCAGGCAGAAGAGATAAGAGCGAGGAGCACAATGCAGCGCAGCCTGGGGGGCTGAAAGGAATGGACCTGTGGGTATTGTACCTCTGAACTCATGTGCGAAAATGTAATGAGGTCAGTCTTCATCTTATCACCTGTCCAGATGGAGTCTTATATTCTCAGCTCTTGAAACTAACACTGACATTGTCCTCCAGCTCTTCATGCCTTCAAGTGTCGCATTTATCTCTCACAGCTACTTCTACGAAGCTCTTTGAAAATATGTCACAATCACAACTCTCTGCACCTGACACCACTTCAACTTCTGCAACAATTGTAAAACTGAAAAAAATGATTTGATAAAAAAAAAAAAACAGTTTGTTGAAACAGTCATTTGTAGAAAAGCTTTTCATGACGAGTAAAAGTTCCTACAAGGAAGAAATTATATTAAGTTTCTACTACTGAAAATAAAGAGAAGAATGAGTGCAAAAAAAACTGAATAGGAGTGAAATACAAAGGACAGATATACAGACATGGAAATATTTTACAATTAAAGATTTAGATTATCAACTGGTTGTAATAACTATCACAAATATGACTTTTTAAATATTAAAAGTGACATTTATAAAAATCAGAATGTCATTTCCCCAATGGCACTAACATAGAGCTGAAAATAATAATATACAGAGATTATCTTACATAAAATGTCAATGTGATTTTAGTCAGCAACAAAATAAAATAGATCAAATATAAGTGTATATTCTTATTTTGTTTTGTCCATGTTGGACAAATGCCAACATGTTAGTCTACAAGCTGCCCTCTCATTGGCTGCACTCTGTGCAGGATGATGAAAACACTTGTGGAATGAAGTGTTCTCCAAACTGGGAATAAAACTGCTGTGTGTGTAAGAAAATTGACTTAAAATTATAATAAAAAAGTTAAAAAGTATCTATTGATAAAAGGTTTATGACCTTCAGAAATAAATCTAACTCCAAACTGTCTATCATTGTGATATAATCTGACATGATAATCCACACCGTTTGGGATATTGCATGAATTCATATTCTTTGTATTAATCCCACGGCCATCTCAGTAGATGTTAGTCATGACAAAGCTGTGGTGACCTTAATCCTAGTGTAACCCATCCTTCACAGTAGCTGCTGCTACCGCCACAGTGTAGTCTAGCAGAAGACGGAGTCAAACGTCTGTCAAAATGTTCCGCTGTCAGCCACTGCGTTTCACTGACAAGTCCTATATAGTTTTAATGATGTGAAAAAAAGTTTCTGTAGATGTTGTAATGGTACTAGTGGACTAATGTTTTGTTTTTCCTTCATGTCTTTGTCATTTTTTAAATGTGAACATATTGCACATTGATCTGTTACTACTCTACTGCAATTCACAGAAACAGTGAGAAACCGTGATCATTCACCTTGCGCTTGGCTCGGAGCTGTCCGTGATAATTATTAGCCGAGTCTCCAGGGATCTGGCCTCCCCACAGAGTCACTCCCACGATGGTGTAAGTGATGCTCATCACCAGTAAAGGCAGCACATAGACCAGAGCTGTCACTATGACGTGGTACCTGCACAAAGGAAAAAAAACATTGTGTTATTAGTAGATGTAGAAAGGATCAAGAAGAAGCCGTTCAAAATAAACCCAATAAAAAAAAGACAATATCTGAAAATAGCAAATGTTTAACAAGAGCAGAAAAACCTAACAATATGTCTAAATCTGCCTTCAAAACATATATTCTTAGTTATATTTGTTATGATTCCATAAGTTATAATTACACAGTACCTTTTTCTGTCCATGTACGGTGTTATACTAATGTTTGTGAACGTAACTGTTGCGTTGTGAATGAGTGAAGTTGTTGCAGTAAGAGACAAACTCAGTACAATCCTGACAGATTCCTGACACACTAATGATGAATCTGATGATAATAATCAGTGTGGAGTTTGATTAAAGGGTGGTGTCAGTCTTACATGAAGGGGTCGTCGGCCATACGAGGCCACGCCACGTAACAGATGGTTCGGAGAGGTAGAGCCCTGGTGGTTGAGAAGTAGCAGAGAGGGAAGGCAAGAACCACAGCCAAACTCCAGATACAGACAATGACGCTCAGGGTGGCCTTTGCCGACAGACGGGGTTTCAGAGGATGAATTATGGCCATGTACCTGAAATAACACAACAGAAACGCAGGTGGACACAGATCTTACAAAATGATGCTGGTTGTACATATAATCCTGTGTTATCAACATTTTTGTTTGTGATCATTTATGTTCTACTATTTCAAAAAAAATCTGGCAAAAGTGTACACTTAAATTAGTCAATGGTTATAAAAAACACAACCGTATCTAACAAATGCACATATCTAATATTTTACAGTACACAGTTCCTCAACAAATGGGGCAAACACTCTGGGTTGGCCCCGAAAATTTTCACGGGTGAATGCGGCCACCCCAGGCCAACTGCTTTTAAAACAACAATATACATTACGATAAAAAAAAAACACGTTTATGTTGGGAAAAAATACACGAGCAGTCACAGATTCAATGTATAAAATACAACAGAACGTGTGCAGAGTAAGAATTAAAAACCACGTGTCAGACCAACCTGTCGATGGAAATGGCAGTCATGGAGTAGATACTGGCGAACACGGCTGTGACCGGGAAGAAGTTGTGGAACCTGCAGTAGACTCCTCCAAAGTACCACTCTCCATGAGCCGCGTAGATGAAGTTGATAAGCGTGTTGAACGCAGCCATGGAGACATCGGAGAAAG